TGCAATCAACAAAGCAGAGTTTATTGAGCTGGCAAGCCAGGGTCAAGCTCCCACACAGACACACAGGTCCGATTGGGCAGACAAGACCCCGAGCCTCTTTAGGGAAGATCTTATATAGGCCCCTACCAGCCGTTACAGCAAAAGCCCGCACAGTACATAGCCAATGAATTTGTAACACCACATACATTTCCACCTATCCATTTAAGAGTACATTACTTCTTAGCCTATAGATTCAAGGGTCAGTATTCGCGCACACGGTTACATTTAGCAAGCAGGCAGGGCACATCTTGCATGTACTTCTAGTCATCTTTCGCAATCTGCTCACATTCCTCACATTCCTCACATTTCACCTGCCCCCATCCTGTTTATCTTATCCTGCACAGGGCATCCTGTGCTGGCTTTACTGGTTTCTGCTATGGGGATCTGCTGGGGCAAAGGGCATATCCTTTCAACAGCTTTCCTGGCAGTTATAGGATTTTGCAGAATTTAGATCCCTAGGTATGCAGTCCCTGAACAGACACCTTTTTATGCTCCTCCTAATATTCCTATTTGGTTCTTAGATAATGTATGGCCACCCCTTTCTCTTAGAAAAGCTTGCCTCCAACAGACTCTGCTCCTCTGGCTTACTACCTGCCTTCTCAGGGAACTTCTCAGAGAGCATGCACACCAGATCCTGCCCCACCCTATAACAATTTCTGTTAAACCAGGGCAGCTGTTCTCCAAAAGGATCTTCTACCCTCTCCATTGGGACTTCGATGGACCAGCCCTCATCTGGTCATTCTCATGACACCCACTGCTGTCAAGCAGGTGATGGACATATTAATTTGATTTAATTACTTTACAATGTAATAATGTCACATTGTATCTTTAAATATATAGTTTTGTTTTTCAATTAACAATTGAACTATAATTTTTTTACATATGTAATTTTTCCTTGATTGTGACTATAAAAAAGTTAGAGACTTGATCATTAAAGATTTTTGATAAAGAATTGCAATAGTTGTTTCAGAGCTGGTAGTGGTGGTGTGTGCCTGTAATCTCAGCACTCTGGATGTAGAAGGAGGAAGAATATGAGTTGGAGGCCATACTGGGCTATATAGTGAGAGCATCTCTCTAAAACCAAACAACCAACAAGAAAGAACACATGGAATTGCAATAGCTATTTTGAGCACAAATCCTCATATAACAAATTATGTTCTAGAAACATATATATTTTCATTAGTAATTTCTGACTATCTTATATTTTACAATTCAATCTATTAAAAAGAAAAATATTTTATGTCTGTAAGAGGGATATTTTTGAATTTTGAATAATTTCATTAACATTGTTACAATAACTTTTCTCTGATCTTATCAAATATAACAAAATCCTTAAAAGACTGTAAAACATACATTAGCAGTTTAATGAATAATGTAAACCAGGTCATAGGAGAGTATTGCAGAATATTTCATTCGGTAGTGTAGCAGTGTGTAGTGGGTAAGGTTATGTTTCAACACAGTTATATAAGTTCTTACATAGCAGATCTAGTCAACTTCGTTCTTGAAGAACATTAAGACATCAGGGTTCCCTTGCGTAGTTATCTTTGTAATGGATGTCCATCACCTTACATTATATTCCTTTTGCAAAGTTGGTGGTTATGATTGCCATAAGCATGCTGTGTAATGGAACAAACCTTATTGTTCTTAACTGAAACTGTACTTTTGCCTAACATCTCCTTGACTTCGTCAGGTGCCTCAGCCAGCTTCTAGTAGCCATCATTCTTACCTCAATTTACATGAGTTCAACAGGCTCAGAAAGACAAGTTCTACATGACGAGACTTATAGGTAGAATCTAAAAATGTCATCAACTTTTAAACCATATTTCCACCATTTAAAATTTTGAAATGAATTATATTTGAATAAGAAAATGCTCTTGTCTCTTACTGATACATTTCACTTTGAACTGACGTAGTCAATTCCACGTTTTCACTTCAAGTATTTCAAAATAAAAAAGAAGCTCTAAATTTACAAAAAGTTTATTGACCTTTGGAGTGATCACAATGCAACTCTGTAAGGTGCCACTAAAAGACTATGTCAGCTAGAAATGGACAGACATGTCTGTCCTGAGGAAATAGAAGTTGGGGTTTCTACCTGGAGAGGTGTCTCAAGATTCCTAGCCTGGCCTTCACCACCTGGGCATCACCTGAGGCTGAGCACTGTGCTCCTTGGGCTCCTGAAACACAAAATTGACCAGCAACCCCAATGGATTCTGGCCCAAAGTAGAACTGGGTCCCCACTTAGCCTGTGACTGCTGCAGCTGCTGTCCAGGTGGTGGAGTGACTCTACTTAGGCTACTCTGAGGAAGCAGAATGCTATTTTATCCTATTGTTTTTGCCCTTCCCAAAGCCATAGTGTGCTGTCACATCTCCTTATTCTTGACCTTCCCGAAGCCTTTCCTAGGCTCTAATCTGCCAGAGAAGCTAGAATGAAACTTTAACTATACCGGTTCATGCCTGACTGGCCTAGACTCAATAACCTTCCCCTCTGATCCATTTGTCATTCTGTCTGCCATGTAGAGGTTAAAAAGCTCTCTCCTCATCTTTATTCTGGATGGAGTAAGTATGAGAACTGAATTACCTAAAAACCTTTCATTAATAAGTCAACCCTGGTGACCTATCAAATGAAGTATGATATGACTTTCAATTCCTATGGATGATGGAATGAACTTGGCAGGGAAAAAGGTACCATACCACAAGCACTCATATATTGCTCCCTGACATTTCCAACTTCATGTTTTCCCTGAAAATTATACTTTGAAATGCTTCCCTTTTATTTTAATATTACCTAATCTAATTAAATCAGATTGTTTTGCATATACTTTATATAAAATATTTTAAATGCCCTTAACATATGTTGAAATGCAGTAAGGGAACAAATTTTTCCAATTCAAATTGCCTGCATGGCATCTATGACATAAAAGTGGATAAGACAGAAGTATAAACTATATCTATACTTTTAACGAATTCCAAACACACTTCCAGACATTCAATAATTGTCAAATAGCTTATATGTTCTCAAATTGTTTTGCATGTAATTTACTTATCAAGTTAATTTTTTAATCTAGATTTTAACTTAAGCACTGTTGGTTAAAAATGTTATTAAATGTACATTTTTTAAAGATAAATCACCTAGAGTTGCCAGATCAAAAAAAGAAATTGGACCTGTGAAATAAGCCTCCTGAAGTCAGAGAACTAAATCACGCTATTGTGTAATTCTTCTCCACAGAACTGTGCTGCTGACTACAACAGGTCCTCAAAATACTTGTTATGTGTGTTACCTGTGACTTGCATTTCACTTCATGGTTAAGAAGGTTTTATGTACCATATTCTATGACCTCAGTGAGCATGCTATGTCTTTATTAATATATGTGCTTTAGAGCAAATTTCAAACTAAACAATTTTAACAACTTTAAACATTCATTTTAATGAATATAAAAATGACAGAAGTATACACAAGTTATTCACATTCTACTTCAGATACTAAATTTTAAACACTTCAAAAGTGAAATTATTATAATAAACTTAGAAGTTTAACTTTATGTCATAGTCATGATTGCAATTAGATTGAATTAAAATACTTTACTACCTTATAGGCATCTTGGCTGAGGACATCATTCCAGTAGAATCTCCACTTTTGGACTCATTATGATGTAACTCTTCAGAAGTTCTCTCTGTTCCTGTACAGTTCTCTTTTCTTTCATTCCATTTCTTCGTAGGATGCTCAATGCATTCCAAAATTAAGGTCATCACCAATTACTCTGTGGGCTCAAAGAAGTCACAGAACCATTTCCTCATTCAGAGAATAAAGTAAGGAGAATTATACTTAATAGGATCTGTAAAGAATGTGGCAAATGGTATGAGCTACCAAGACAATTTTTTCCACTAAGAGGCAAAAGGAAGTAGTAAAATTTACATAGTCAATTAAAACATTCTAATCAGAAATTTGCTTCATAAATGCACATACAGAAACTATATGTATGTATTTTTGAGGTATACATAAATATATAAATAAGTGAAAATATTGGTGCTAGGGCTCAAATGCAAGGATATATGCATATATGCACTCTATCACTGGGCTAAACCCCAAACTACACTGTTTGTTAGAAGTAAATAGATTATTCTTCGCAAAAGGGAATCTTTGTTATACAACAGAGAAAACAAAGGCTTTTGACATTACATGAATGCTATATGATGTGGTTTTCTATAGCCAATATTATCATTATGTGATTTTTTAAAACAATTACAGATACAATCCATAGATCAGGGAAAGCCAGTGAAAATTTTAGGTCTACATATGACAAAATGTCCATTGACCAATGCATCATCATTAGTGGTAGCATTTCAGGACCCAATAAAGGACTGGGCCTAATGTATCCTCAAATATTGATAAGAATCAAAAATTAGTACATTAGAGTACACACAGAAACATTACAGATATGAGGTTAAAATTTGAATAAGAATCATTCTGAACACAAATAAGTATTTCTGGAAATTTTGACACTAATATGCTCACAATTTTTGTCACCCTTGTCTCTTTTAAAGCAGTTGTAATTTAAAAACCCACTTAAAACAGTAATTGATCTCTAAAATGGTAACAAATGCAAATAAGAAAAGAACTAGTTAGAAAGCATCTAACAACCTCACTTTCCCAGGCTGGAGAACACACAATATTAGATTTAGATAGAAAAAGATATTAGCCAAGTGTCCCAATCAGTTACCAGAATAAATTCAAGGTTGAAGACACAATGGGACTGAGAACAACTCAAGTTCAAGAATGGACCCACACAGTTACATTTCCTGGAGAAACAAGAAAAGAGGTTGCATTAGGAATTAAGTACAGACTTCTTATAGAAAAAGGAGGAGAAGTAAAAAGAAAAGAAGAAAGGCGATGAAGAAGAGAAAGAAGAGGAGAAAAAGACCCAGAAATGGAGATAGGAACTAAGTCAGTTTTACTGCTTCACTCAATTTGTGATTCTCTTCAGAGTTCTCTTCAGAGCAAGTTTGACCTCCTTGTTCCTGAGGCTATAAATGAGAGGATTTAGCGTGGGCACCACAAGTGTATAAACCACAGAGAAAAATTTCCCTTGGCCTGCAGCACCAGGAGATGATGTTTTCATGTGAGTGAGTAGCCCAGATCCATAGAAGAGGCCAACAGTTATTATGTGAGAACCACAGGTGCTCATGGCTTTGCACCAACCCTTAGCTGATGACATATGAATAATATTTAAAAGAATCAGAGAATATGAGATTGAGATAACAAGGCTGGATAAAATTGCAGAAATACCCACACAAACAGAACTCACTAGATCATTGGCATAGGTGCTGCTGCAGGAGAGCTGGAGGAGGGGGAAGATGTCACACATGTAGTGGTTGAGGATGTTGGAATCACAAAAGATGAGCTTGACCATACACCCTGTGTGAACAATGGCACCAGCTAATCCCATCAAATGTGAACCAAACATCAATAAACAGCAGGTCCTAGGGGACATGATGACTGTGTACAGCAGGGGCTGACAGATGGCTACATAGCGATCACAGGCCATGGCAGTCAGCACATAGCACTCAGAGTAGACAAAAAAGCAGAAGAAAAATAACTGTGTCATGCATCCACTAAAGGAGATAATGTTCCTCTCTGAAACAAAGCCTATCAGCATTTTTGGAGTAATGACAAATGAATAACAAAAATCAATGAAGGACAAATTAAAGAGAAAAAAGTACATGGGGGTGTGAAGGTGTGAACTCAGGCAAATTAGATTCATTAAGCTCAAGTTTCCCACCACAGTGAATATATAGTTCACCAAGAACAGGAAGAAGAGGGGCAGTTGGAGCGCAGGTTGATCTGTCAATCCCATAAGAATAAACTCTGTCACTGAAGAACCATTTTCCATTGCCATTTTCTTCATGGGAGAAATCTGTAGGAACAGGGGTAGAAGGTGTTATTAACAATGAACCCTTCCTCTTTGACCCAAGAGAATGAGAGCTGGAGCTATAGATATTCAGACTCAGGTATTCAGATAATACATGGAAAAGATCAATACTTACCATGTTGATTCCTGATGAAAATCCATTACCTCCTTCTCTCACCCATGATGTATGACTCTGTCCAACAGGATGCTGATAGAACTGTCAAGGGTTGTGAATATCATTTTCTCCCTTCACTTCAATCTTCACTATGGGTTAGAACAGAAATTATCAATTAGTAAATTGCATTATCCAGAACCTATGGTTTATATAGCCTTGGATTTGAAGGGAGATTATCAAAAGAACAATGATTCAATGCTCACCTTTGTTTCCCTGAAGGACTTCACTGCCCCAGGATCTCAAGGGCCCTTCCTTTTCACTATATTATATGTACCAAGTTCCTGATAATGAAGCAGGTAATAACCATTAGTGGATAATAGTTTCTGACTTGCAAGAAAAGGGATAACTGTGGAATATTTCAGTATTCTTATTTGAGAATTTCTTTAGAATGTTTGCTTCACTTGCAAAAAGGAAAACAACTTTTATGAGCCTCCAAAATATCACCTCACTCAAATGAGAATCTATTTCATTCACTTAATATTGGGAAAATTGATTAGAAGAACAGAAAATTATTCTCTCCTTTATGATTTCCTCCCAAGTTGGCTGAACCCCTTGAGAGGAGAAATTAGTTAGCCTATGTTTACATCCTGCACCATAGACATAACGCTGGATCTTTTGAGACTCAAAGTTCTGCTAAATCTATAGTTTCCCACAGGAATACATACTTCCCAGGGCACAGTTGCTGGTAGTCCCCATTGTCACTTTCCTCATCATGCCCTATATAGCTCTATAAGAGAAAGGACAGTGTTAATAGTCACTTGCCATTTCTAGAAAATTCCTGAAGTCTCAGGGGTTGCATTAATAAACAGGAATATATTAACAAACTACCTATAGATGTTGCAGCAAAGATGTTGAAAGAAAAGGAGTAGACAATAATGTCAGAATTTCAATCTAGAACTTTCAACTTCTGGCTATAAGACTGTAGACTAGTGAGAGTGACATAACTTCTCTGACCATCTTCCACATTTGACTTTTGGACACATTTTTGTTATGGCTGTGTGTCATGCTCTGTGTAGGGCACAGCATCCCTGGACCCTGCCTATTAAATGCCAGTGTTATACTCCTCAACACAACACACACACACACACACACACACACATAAACACACATACCACACACACACACACACACACACACACACACCAGTTGTGCCTAAGAAAATTTTCTTCATACATTGTCAAATGGCCCTTAGGTAGTATTGGGAGTAAGAAAATAATATAATATGTATGATTCTTTGATACACTAAGCTCTTTGAACTGAAGGACACTGTAAGGTCTAAGAAAGGAGTCTCTTCTTTAGGTTTCAGGGGTGGCTCAAGTGGGAGGGTACCTGCCTAGAAGTGCCAGGTTCTGAGTTTAAACTCTGGTATTGCCAAAAATAAAATCATTTTCTATCCTGCACCTCCTTGTGTTTTGCTTTTCACCCTAGGTAGAACATGAAAACCAAGAATTTTTCTTCCTTAAGGTCAGTCATAGAAAATAGTATCTCTCTTCCCAACAGTCATCTATAAAACCTAGATGCTATTCCAAACTTCCTGTTTAAAAGCAGCACATACAGAAATTTTCTGACCTTCTCTGTCTGATAGTGAATCATAAGATTGTCCTTCCAGAGGGGTTCTCAACTATGACAGAAAGGAAGAAACACAACACAGAGAGGTAAAAAAGAATCAGAACAGATATGCCTGACTGTTTCCCCTTTCCATGTAGTGTGCTAGATCATATCCTTTTGTCTAAGCACATTTCTGCATAGCTGTCCTTCTTCATCAACCTAACCATAAAAATAAGTTTTCCCTTATCTTTTCTCCATTTCTGAAGAATCCTGTTCATGTAAAACTTGATTAAATGAATCTGTTATATTTCTCTTACTAACTTGCCTTTTATTGTAAGAGTTTTGGGCCAGGAGTAATGGTACACATCTGTAATGCCAGCACTTGAGGTTGAGGCGGGAAGCTCACAAATCGAGGCCAACTTGGGCTACATAAGGAGTCCATTTTTAAAAACAAAAAAGTGTCCCTTGTGACCGTATAATGGGGAGGAAAGGGATCACACCCTTGCATCACTATGGTTGAAAAATAATCCATTTTTGAGAGCCACTGATTCATCTAAACAGCCTATACTTCTATCAGAAACCAGCTACCAGGAGTACCTCTGTACTACCTAGATATGGATCATGTATAGTTGAATAAAAGCTCCTCCCATCTTGGGGACAACGAGAAGAAAGTCTCTTGTCACCACTGACACAATTAGCTCATATCAGTTTAGCTCTCACTGTCCCCAACCCCTCATCAGTGTCAGTTTTACAGTCATCACCACTGCTGCCAAATCTGCCACAACTTTGTCTCTTTCTTCTTCATGTTACCAGGTCAGAGTAAATGATGAAACTCACAAATAGGCAGGAAAGTCCACTCAAGAAGTCTTTATTTGAAATGCTGTTGCAAAACCATGGCGCAGCATAGAAGGATATCTCCTGGCTGCTCATAAAGTAAACAAATAGACTGTTTATATAACCAGAAAGTAGGTATATCAAGGGTGTCTGCACCAATCCTGGCTCTCCCCTCATGCAAATGAAGGGTTATGTTGGCGCTGACCATGGCACAAAACTGTTGTCAGTACTGGTAATCTCTTATGCAAGTGAAGGACTGTGCTTTTATCAGTCACAGGTATTCTGCTGTGGGAGGGAAGTGGGAAGGAGGATGGTGGGGGTGGAATTCTCCACCTCTGGCCTGGATGTAAAGAGTTCCAAGGCCTTCCAGAGTTCACTGAAATTTATGCTGGCAAAAGTCTAGTGCAAGATGCTTGTTTAGGGACAGTGCCTTCAGGAATGAGAGCTTTGCTTCAGCAGTAAGCTTTGGTTGTTACGTGACTTCCTCAAGGTGTCTGCGGAGTGTCACAGCAGCCAGGGCTGGCATGAGGGCAGTCCAGCTGCTATTTGATTGATAAGCTTTCACTAAAAGCAGTCATGGCCCTGGGGAAGGGGTCTAGTAAGGAGTTAAATCTCCAACATCTCAGCACAGAAAAATAAACATAAAATGGGTACTTAAAATAAAGGCTCATTAACATTAACAGTAAATTAACCATATTTAGCAATGCTCTAACAGTACCTAAATTCCTGCCCAACTGCCCCAGGAAAAGGTGGGTCACTGACATCTGTCCCATTTCAGCTATATGTGCCTCACAGACAGTTCTATTTTGTACCTATTTATGTGCCAAGACTCAATGATGCAAACTGGATTCAGTTTTTCCTGTGATTCCCAGTACTGCTCTTCCTCAGATCAACATTTTTTCATTTATTTTCACCAACATCCAAGCAATTGATGCATCATCACCTAAACAACTAAACTTTGTCACCTCCTTTCAACTATCTTCTTCCAGTCTCCAAGTTCCAAGGGATTCACCTTCCTTCAGATGTCTGCATATTCTTCTTGCTGATGCAGTTTTTATAGTTCCTCTTGATCTCAAATTGGAGGTACCATATTGTTTTCTAATTTGGTCTGCTATAGAAAATAAAAATTTGGACATTTTTACCCACTCACAAGCACTGCTCACTCTTTTTCTTCCAGCTTTTTACTCCATAGTTATTATATTCTTACATTTGATTGTATCAGTAGTCCTGCTAGTATCATGCATCCTGTTAAAACACTATTCACAACTAATACACTCGAATGATTTTACTTTTCAAAAATGCCTTTTGGTTAGTTTTTATACTATTTCTTGTGTGTCTCTGATTCCTTCACTTTTTCCTCATTTCTTGAAACCTTGTCTCACTATATTCAGGTGTAGGTATTAAGTTTCATCCACTTTGCTTAGGAGATGTCAGCAGGGCTGAAGTGAACACCAGATTCCCTGGGTCTCAGGGATGAGGTGGCATAAGGGCAAATTCCATACTCATGGGCTTGATGTTGAGAGTTCAGCAGGGAACTGAGTATCTATATACTAATCGAGATATTTTAAAAAGAAATAAAGAAACACAAAGGGCTGGAAGTGTAGCTCAAGTGACAGAGTGGCCACCTAGCAAGGAGGAAGCCCTAAATTCAAACCCTAGCACTGCCAAAAAAAAAAAAAGAAACAATGTAATCCATAGCCTCACTAACTATTGCACAAAATGTTCCAGATATAATTAAAAATCATTCATCATGTTAGGAACATATTTGACCACAACTTGAAATAAAAGATTGTCTACAGATGTCAACACTATGATGACTCAGACATTGCTCATCTGAGAAGGAAACATAAAATGCTTCAGCAAGCAAGCACTCAGGAAAGAAATGAGAAAAATTTAAATCTTAGCAATGAAATTAAGTGACATATTTTTAAAATGATCTTTTGCTTCTGGGAAGAAAGAAAAATACATACTTTTCTCTATTACTACTTCTAGTTACAGTTAAATAAAATCCTAGACTTAATATAACGCAAATACAAACAAACATAAGAAGACTCTGATATATAGAGAGGAGGGAACAGACTGACTAAGGAACACAGGCCCCTACTTAGCCTGGTGAGTTCCTTGGCCGGTGTCCTGGCTTCCTCTATCCAAAACCTAGAACTGAAGAAACTGGTAAAAGAAAACTGCCAATAAGCGCAGGCAAAAAAACCTTTTTTTTTTAAATCCAAACAAAAGTCTTCTCTTCTGAGAATTGCTTATAATTTTTTAAAATTTTATTAGTGTATACTACTTGTACAAAGGACTTCATTGGGATATTTGTACATATGCATATAATATATTTAAATCAAATTTATCTCCTCCATTACTCTTTCTTATCTTCCCTGCTCCCTTTTGACACAATTTTAATAGGTTTCATTATTCTATTTTATACATGTGTATAAGTACTCCT